ACGCGTTCTCCCAGGGCTGCGTTCCTCCTGAGGGCATCTTGAGAGGACGCTACTCCTTGAGCCTGACGCCCCAAGCAGGCCTGCAATACGGCGTGTTCTTGGCGTCCGTGCCAGCTCTCGACCAGTTCACCGTGTGCATGAGGTATGGTTTGGTACGGGAGCCTCTTGGCACGTTGTTGCCTGTGGCATGTTATTCCGTTTTCTTTTATAGACTCTTACTCTTAGCTTTCTATCGAATATATCTAAAGATAAATCATACATGTGTAACTCCTTCGAAGCTTCAGGTATTTTATTTGAAAATAAGCCAGTAAAAAAAAAACTTCACCTGTCATTGTAAGATTATGAAATGTATATATATATGAATAAATAGAACATTTGAGCCAATCTGGAGCAAACTTCGGATGAGATAAATAATATCAGGTTCTTGGCATTAAACATCTCATAACGTCCAGATTTCATTCCCAATATTTCAGGTTCCAGGTGTTGTCTCTGGCCCGATCACACTTCCTCTTCTCTTACGCTGTGCAGGGCCAGGACAACGCCATTCTGGTGTTCGTCAGCCCGGGGAGCAAGCCCGGTCTCGGCTTCTACGTAAACAATGTCCGGATGAAGGCGAACGCAGACATACGTGTGCGCACCTGGTATAGCATGTGCGCCTCGTGGCTCTCCGACCAAGGGGAATACGCCATCTTCCTTAATGGGGTGAAGATCAAAAAAGGAATAAAAAAGGCAAGTCTTTGCTGAATCGCTCTTTCTCTCTATGTATCAATATATATGTGTGTGAGCGTATGTCTGTATGTGTGTGTGTGTGTGTGTTTGTGTGTGTGTGTGTGTGTGTGTGTGTGTGTGTGTGTGTGTGTGTGTGTGTGTGTGTGTGTGTGTGTGTGCGTGCGTCTGAGTGTGCGTGTGTGTGTGTATGTATGTATGTGTATATGCATCTATATATGTTTGTGTGCGTATGTCTGTGTGTGTGTGTGTGTCTGTGTGTGTGTGTGTGTGTGTGTGTGTGTGTGTGTGTGTGTGTGTGTGTGTGTGTGTGTGTGTGTGTGTGTGTGTGTGTGTACACATCCGTCTGTCTGTTTATCTATCTATCTATATCGATATACCTATCTATCTATCTATCTCTCTTCCCATCTCTTTCATTCTCTCTCTCTCTCTCTCTCTCTCTCTCTCTCTCTCTCTCTCTCTCTCTCTCTCTCTCTCCCTCTCTCTCTTTCTCTCTGCTTACTCTGTGTCTATATATATATATATATATATATATATATATATATATATATATATATATATATATATACATATATATATACTTATATACATATATATATATATATATATATATATATATATATATATATATATATATATATATATTTATTTATGCATGCATGTGTGTGTATGTTTGCACATATATATCTGTCTATTTATCTATCTCTATCTCACTATCTCTCTATCTATCTATCTATGTCTCTATTTCTCTCTATCTCTTTTTCTATATTTGTCTGCCTATCTATCTCTATATCGATCTCTACCTAATTATCTATTTCTTTTCTCATCTAACCCCCCCTCTTAACACCCCTTCTCTAAGATGTCTAGATTATGATTTGTAAATACCGAATTATATTATTAATCTATCGACCAATACTCGTCGACTTCCGAGGCAACCAAACCGCCAAATAAACATAACCACGCCCATTCCTCTCTCGCAAATCTCACTCACTCACTTACTCACTCACTCACTCACTCACTCACACATTCACTCACTCACTCACTCACTCACACATTCACTCACTGACTCACTCACACATTCACTCACTGACTCACTCACACATTCACTCACTGACTCACTCACACATTCACTCACTCACTCACACACACATTCACTCACTCACTCACTCACTCACCTCTCTCCTCAGTGTCCCGGCTGTGAGGTCGAGAGCGGCGGGATAGCGGTGTTGGGTCTTGAGCAGGACCGTCCTGGCGGAGGCTTCAACCCACGACAGGTAACCCACGGCCACGTAACCAGCTTACACGTGTGGAACAGAGCCCTCCACGACACTTTCCTCCATCCCTATCTTTGCTGCTCTTCTGGAACAGCGGAGGCCGAGACGTCTCAGGTCGCCTGCGAGGTCGCCAATTCAACGCTGACCTCTCACAGCAAGCGTGTTATCGAGTGGGGTGTGACTCCCATGGCAGTCATGGGCGGCGCTTTGTTTGTTCCTTTTGATTAATGATTTATCTTTCATTCAAAATACAATTCCGAAGAAACCTAATTCGTTTATTAAACCCGATCCACAACCATTATAAATCTTTTTAGGTGTATAGGCCTATTCAGTGTAATTAAAGATTAAAGTCTTCAGACATTCCACAGGGATACATTAGAGAATAATCTTTCATATTTTACCACAAAATTCAAAATGACAGTACCATTAAAAAGCCATATATCATAAAATTGATGAAATATGATACGGTCGTACAAATTATATGTATATATATATATATGTGTGTGTGTGTGTGTGTGTGTGTGTGTGTGTGTGTGTGTGTGTGTGTGTGTGTGTGTGCGTCTGTATGTGTGTGTGCGAAGTTCTGCCATTTATCAATTCTCTTATTAACGGTGCAGCCTCTGGCGAGGAAGTCCTTGTCTTCGCATCTCCAGAAAACCTTTTCCTTCACCTTTTTTATCTATAATGAAAATATTATGTGCTATAGTAAGTTTCAGTCTTCGTCTATATGCTGCTATGATTCGGTGTTTGTGATTCAGAGAGGACAAAATATCTTAATAGTGCTTAGGGAACGGATAGCACAGTACTTTTTCTCATTCTTAAAGTGTGCGAATTTCCCTGCATTTTGTTTTTCTTTATAAGACTAATGTTAACCCAACGCCGCCGGGGAAAATGAATAAAAAATGAGGGAAATGCTGTGCTCATTTTTTATATTTTATGTAATGTCTCTGCATATTAATGGCTCTGCTAGTTCTTAGCCACAAAGGAATCAATTAGTAGACATTGTGACCTTACCTGATTTCATCTTTCCTTGAATTGGCGGGAAAAACGTATTTTTTACTAATGCTATGAATATCGAAGGTGTTATTTTTGTTATAAACGTTATTATTACTATAATGTTATAAGCATTAGTAACAGCAAAATATGGTAACGTAAAATCTTTTCGTAAATCATAGAAAGGGGTAAACGGGCGAGACAGGCAGCATTCGTAATTGGCTCATTGGTGACTTAGTACAAGTGTGGCCATCTGTGTGCAAAAACAATTAAACAAGTAAACTCACAGTGGGCATGGTATATACGTACAGGGCATGGCATGTACAT